TTCCCCTTTAAACACAGCATTGAAGACAGACCCAAGTAAGTGACTAACATCTACTCCCCTGGATTTTGGCAGCTTTCAAAAACAGGGGCATAAATTATTTTTAGTTTTGCATTGTTTGAAATCTCTTCTTCTCCTTTACTAAAGAGGAAGAGGTGTGACAGAAGTCCGAATGTTAGAAATCAGTCAAATTAAGCAAAGAACCGACTCAAAGGAAGCCTATAAATTAAACTCAAAGAGAGGAATTTGTAATGGAGGCAGAGATGATATTAATTTCCATTTATCCCCTGAAAATAAAGGACAGTCAAACAAAGCTGTGGCATTTTCCACTTTCTGTAATGCAAATGTTCTTAAATAGCTGTCATAATGCCAGAAGGGTGGAGTATTTTTTTTTTTTATAAAATAAGTAGGAGAATAACCTTTTATCTGCTCCAATTAGTGTGGGGAAAGATGTGTAGTTACACCACCAATGCAAAGAGATGCTACAAGAAAGGCAGATCAGTGAGGAAGTCTATAGTTCACAGAGGACTGGAGCATTCAACGTGCAAACAAGAAATGGAAGGTCTTCCTAGCCATCTTCTACTGCAAACACAATTAGTCGACTTTCCTTGCGTGCCCACAGATTTTGAGATGAGGATTAGGTACCAGTTGGAGTCTCTGGCTACATTGTAGTTATTGTGAATCCTCTGGAAGCAAAATAGTCCATATTATCTCTGTTTGATCTCACCAGGGTTCTATGTAGATTTATTTGCCTCCAAATATTTGGAAATCATCAACTTCTTCACTTTGATGATGATGANCTTTCTGAACCTGGCTGCCAAATAAACCTTTCCTATATCCTGAGAAGTCTAAAGCCTGTCATTTTCTGCAACAAAACCTCTCGAAATAACAATGGTCTTCCGCATTGTCTACCCTGGGAACATTTTGTTGTATTTCTGGATTTCCTCATGCAATCCTTAAAGATGAGAGTAAGCCCTCACAGCAGTCTAAAAAGCAAATGGAGTATCACATTTGGGCAATAGGTACAGTGATGTCCTTAATGGCATCATCTTTTTAAAAATGTAATCCACATACTGGAATTTCAAGAATTGGAAGGGCTGCAAGTGCTGTTAATTCTACTCCTTAAACATTCAAGATCTGCTTCCCTATACCTTAATCCATCATGTAGGTGTGCTACACATTTTCAGGACTGGAAGAGTGTAAAAATACAGTCCTACACTAGAAAGATGCTTCAGAACTGGGCATTTCCACCTGATGAAATCATCTTGCTAGTTGCACACTCACTAATACATTGTGTTTCTTCTTGGATGTTCTTAAAACCGAAGTGGCTTGCTGGGGAATTTTGGGACTTGAAGTCTAGACATCTTAAAGTTGCCAAGGTTGAGAATCACTGTCTAGTGTCTTAACCTTTTCCACTTTTTTTCCAATCCATCTAAAAAGCACAGTGCCCCAAATTGGCTCTAACACGTAAAAGATGGCTTGATCAATGTAATGTGGACAACACAATGTCAAATTTGCATTACAAGTATACAAATTTGCATTTTGAGGGTGGAAAGAACTGCACTGCAGCAAATCTAAATTCCAAGCCTCTTCTGCCATTATTTCACTCTCCAAACATTGCAGGAAAAATATCAAGAGGTGTGTGTGTGAGAGAGAGAGAGAGAGAGAGAGTGAGAGAGAGAGAGAGAGAGAGAGACTGACTTAATCAGCTGTGAATTTTGCTCAGGATCATCCCATTTACAGGATGAAATCCACTTTCGCTCTTTCATCAGCAACATGGCCTGCATCTCTTGTTTCTCCGGAGTTTTTGAATTTTTCTTTTTTCGCCCCTTGCAATACTCCAGGAAAAAAAATATTGAGATAACTATTGAGATAGGAAAAGGCGGCGGCATTGCTAGGAAGAGATAAGAAAAAACAAACGTGGAACACACACACACACAGGTCCCTGAGGAGTTTGAGGCTTTAAGGAAAAAATGTGAGACACACACACAACACACACATACACATATATGTGTGTTGTGTGTGTATAGTTGTCCCTTAAGGCCAGGGGTCTCCCAGCTTGGCCACTTGAAGACTTGTGGACTTCAACTCCCAGAATTCGTCAGCCAGTAAAGCTTGAAGACTTGTGGACTTCAACTCCCAGAATTCCTCAGCCACCAAAGCTTGAAGACTTGTGGACTTCAACTCCCAGAATTCCTCAGCCAGCAAAGCTTGAAGACTTGTGGACTTCAACTCCCAGAATTCCTCAGCCAGCAAAGCTTTAAGACTTGTGGACTTCAACTCCCAGAATTCCTCAGCCAGCAAAGGTTTAAGACTTGTGGACTTCAACTCCCAGAATTCCTCAGCCAGCAAAGGT